GAGGTGGGGAGTATATGAGCAAACTGTTTAGTGATTTCTTGGGGTATAAAGGCATCAAACACATGGTTTCATGTCCTTATACTCCTCAGCAGAATGGTCTTGCTGAAAGGAAGCATCGACACGTGGTGGAAACTGCATTAACATTAATGGCTGAAGCAAATTTGGAACCTAAGTTTTGGTATCATGCTTGTTCACATTCTACTATGTTAATTAATAGAATGCCATGCAGAGTTCTTGAAATGCAATCTCCATATCAGTGTGTGTTTGGAAGAGTACCAGAATTGTCTCATTTTAAAGTGTTTGGCACTGCTGTCTATCCGTATCTTAGACCATTTAATGACAATAAGTTACAGCTCAGATCTTCTCAATGTCTTTTTCTGAGTTATTCAAATGGTTACAAAGGCGTAGTTTGTTATAATTTACAAACTAGCAAACTGGTTATATCAAGACATGTTATACATGATGAATCAGTTTTTCCATATCAGAAGTCATTTGCAAAGCATAAAGAAAAGGTTTCAGATTTACAGAAGCCTAGACAGGTTCCAATATTGGTCCAACTTCCAGTTATGGAAGATCACACTTCAGAATTCTTGCCACATTCTAACTCAGCTCAAGACAGTCAATAGAGTCTGGGGCATATTAATGCAGTCAGTCTATATCTGAAATTGGGACTCCAAGTTCTTCAAGTTTATCACATTCAGCAACATTGGACACTCCTCATCATCATCACTCTATTCCAATTTCTTCCACATCACCCTTGTTGACTGTCCATCACAGCTCACAATTGGAGGTAATTCTTCCTATCTCAGCACATGATAATACAAATTCTGCGAATTCTACATCTATGTTAAATTCCATTTCTCAGCATCCTATGGTAACAAGGTTGAAAAGTGGAACAATTCCAAGGAGAAATTATGCAGCATATTTGGCCACATTTCCTGAGCTACATACACTTCAATTAACAGAAGATGAACCATTTTCTGGGGGGTTCTCTTTTGTTACTTAGGTCACTGTTATTGCAGAACCATCAAGTTTCAGGAAAGCTTCGTGTATACCACATTGGCAGCAAGCAATGCAAGAAGAATATGATTCTTTGAGAGCATAAGGAACTTGGGACTTAGTTTCTCCACCTAATGACAGATCCATAGTAGGGAGTAAGTGGGTGTACAAACTGAAAAAGAATGCAGATGGGAGTATATCCAGATATAAGGCTAGATTGGTTGCCCAAGGGTTTTCACAGGAGCATGGAGTGGATTATTCAGAGACCTTTAGTCTTGTTGTCAGACATACAACAGTGAGAATTATTTTGTCTCTTGCTGCAATGAATCATTGGGAATTAAAACAATTGGACATAAAAAATGCATTCCTTCATGGTGATTTACAGGAGGAGGTTTATATGAAATAGCCACAAGGATTCATTGATCCTTCACATCCCAATCATGTTTGCAGGTTACTCAAGTCTCTATATGGGCTTAAACAGGCCCCTAGAGCCTGGAATTCAAAATTCACTACTTATCTAGTTGCAATGGGGTTCACTGCCTCATTATCAGATACCAGTTTATTCACAAAGAAGGATGGTGATGATATTGTGATGTTATTACTCTATGTGGATGACATTATCCTCACAGGTTCCAACATTTCCATGATTAATACAGCAATCCAAGAATTGTCTGAAGTATTTGATTTGAAAGATCTTGGCAGACTCACATTCTTTCTCGGGTTGCAGATTCACTATAAGAATAATGGAGATATCTTTGTGAATTAAACAAAGTATATCAAGGACCTTATACACAAAACAGGTTTGAAGTCCTGTAAACCTGCTACAACTCCCTGCAAGCCTCATAATTTGATGCTTGTGACAGAAGGTAAACCATTGGCTGATCCTAGTATCTACAGAAGTATTGTGGGGTCTCTTCAATATTTGACATTCACACGGCCAGATATAGCCTTTGCAGTGAATTCGGTATGTCAATTCATGACTTCACCAACTGATGTTCATTTAACAGCAGTTAAACGAATTCTGCGATACTTGCAAGGTACAATTCAAGCTGGTATTTTCTATTCTGCAACTGCAGTAGTAAGTTTGAATGCATTTTCAGATGCAGATTGGGTTGCAGATCTTAACACCAGACGATCAGTGACAGGTTATGTTGTTTTCCTTGGACATAATCCTATTTCTTGGCAGTCAAAGAAGCAAACTTCAGTTTCCCGAAGCTCCACAGAAGTTGAGTATAAAGCATTAGCTCATACAGCTGCAGATATTACATGGGTGAGACATATTTTAAAAGATTTACATGTTTTTCTTCCTCATCCACATGTGATCCATTGTGATAACATGTCTGCGATATCATTGAGTGCCAATCCTGTATTTCATTCGAGAATCAAACATTTGGACACAGATTATCATTTTGTCCGAGAAAGAGTACAACAAGGTGATCTGGAGGTGGTGTATATTCCTACAGATGATCAAGCAGCTGACATTCTCACAAAGGGATTGCACATTCCTGCGTTTGTTAAGCATTGTTACAATCTGCAACTAGGAAATCCTAGTTGAGATTGAGGGGGGATATTGACGGTGATGATGACTTGGCAATCAACTAATGACATGGCAATATTAGAAATTAAAGACTGATGACTTGGATGATGACTTGGCATTTAGTATGTTAATATTGTTGTAACTAATTCAAATTGTTAGAGTTAGTTAGCACATAGAGGCTATATAAGCCAAGTACTGGTGTAAGAATCAATCAATCAAGTGTATCATTTTCCTTCAGAAATACAAGCTTTCTCAATTCATTTTTCCTTTGATTTTCTCTCTGCTTCTTCCTTTATATTTCCCATTCCCTTTCTGTTTTCCAGTTCTGTTATGAGAACCAACTACAAAGAAACTTCAGAATTTGCTACTTGACGCTGTTTGGGATGACCCTCTTCTACTCACATGCTACTTGTTAGTCAAGACGATAAAACGGGCAATGCTCGGCCTAGAATAATTATCTTGTAGTTTCTTTTCTTTTCGGCTTTTGCCTCCTTGAATCCAATACAACAATATCAACAACAAAATCTCATGCTACTAAATGGGACTATGCTTGACTTTGCCTTCTTGAAACCAAATAAGAAAAGGGTTCAACCCATTAGTGAAGCAAAAGCCCAATTAAGTAATCAGGTTAGGCTTATAATGATCGGATGCCATGACTGCTGATGGTCAATGAGTTTCTGGATGAAGCCTTTTGTTCTTAGTCCCAATTCTCTCTCTTTTACGTATATAAGGAAAAAAAAGAAGGAAATTCTCCCTCTACCTTCATTCCCAATTTCGTTTTGAAATGGTTGTGAAGAAATTAACACTTTTTCGTGAGTGCTTATATTAAAATGATAACAATGTTTTATTATTTAAAAAAATCAAATATTTTTTTTACCAAGTAGTACTACAGTTTATTGATTTTTGATTTTACTTATAAGTTAGAGATATTGAGTTCGCCTCATATGAATGACGAAGACGTATTATATTTTTATTGAGTTCTATACCTAGTTAGTTACAGACTCAGTGTTTGGTCTAACCTAATCCACCTCTTTATGGTTGAATATATCAAAAAAACATTTATATCAAATACTTCTTATTCTATTAATTATGGTGATTGATAATTACTTCTCCATCCAAAGCCTGGAATCGTCCCTTTCCTCTTTTCTTGACACAAAGATATGATCTTAAGTCTCACTTGGGTATCAAAATTTCTATGAATCAAACCAAAGATCATTCAATTAGATGTAAGGAGGAGAATTACTGAACCCTAGTTACCCATTTTCTTTAGGCTTCAATATTTACTAAAGACTTTTTATCCAAAATGGTTCCTCAGATTTGCATAACACATTACTTTGGCCCCTGAGATTGAAAATCAATAGAAATGGTCCCTAAGATTGTCCACCATCCATTATTTTGGTCATTCCGTTAAAAACTCCGTTAAGTGTCCTGGAGCTCTTGGCCGAAAGCTTGGGCAATTTTCAAAGCTTCGTAACTCAATCGTTTCTTAACCCAATTTGACCCATAATATATCAAAATGAAGATAGGAAAGTGTAGAACAAGGTTATACCTATTTGGAAGCCCAATGGTTTCCAAAGATAGTCCGAAAATAACCTGATAGGTGATTGGTCCGCAGGAAAACTGGAAAACTTGCCGAAAACTGGGTAAACTTTAAACGTTCATAACTTCTTCAATACTCAACGAAATCGAGTGATTCAAAAACGAAAATCATACTTCTCAACGAGATAAAGAGAATCGTACCTTTTTCAATGGCTAAATCAGCGCGGTTTGGCCGAACAATGGCTTGAAAGTGGTTATCTTGGTCTCTAGTTAGTCACTTTCGAGCCGTTTTCTAGCCAAACTATAGTGAATTAGCAGTCAACAAAGGCACCATTCTATTTGTCTCATTGAGAAGTATGATTTTTATTTTTGAATCACTCAATTTCGTTGAGTATTGAAGAAGTTATGAACGTTTAAAGTTTCCCAATTTTCCCATTGACCAGTCACATTTCAAGCTATTTTCCGGCCATCTCCGATAACCATTGGGCTTCCAATAGGTATGATCTTATTCTACACTTTCCTATATTATTTTGATATATTATGAGTTGAATTTGGTTGAGAAACGATTGAGTTACGAAACTTTGAAAATTGCCCAAATTTCCGACCAAGAACTGCAGGACACTTAACGGAGTTTTTAACGGAAGGACCAAAATAATGGATGGTGGACAATCTCAGAGACCATTTCTATTGATTTTCAATCTCAAGGACCAAAATGATGTGTTATGCAAATCTCATGGACTATTTTGGCTAAAAAGCTTGTACTAAAAGAATAGACATGCTACACAATTTGGGCTGAGCTTTCTCAAGACATGGGCTTCAAAGTGGGCTCCTTGACTAATTGGGTCATCACACTAAGACCCACTTCCATTTGTATAACTAAAACCCAAATCAGCAATAGCCCAATCATACCCAACCTAAAGTCCACACACCCACGCTACATATAAAATCCCGCTAAATCCACCGCTACTCAAAATTTAGGGTTTCATTTTCCCGTCAAGCTAAAGAGAAGGAGCCGCCGTTGCCGAACTCGCTCGCACGCAAGCAGCAGCAATGGGTACTTCCACTTGCTCTCTGCGATTTCGGTTCCCCAAAACATTATCCTTTTCTGCTGATGATTTTGTTCTTATTGTTTGTAAACTGTGATAGCGAGAATCAAGGTACATGAGCTGAGGCACAAGACAAAGGCTGACCTTTTGGCTCAGCTCAAGGATCTCAAGGCGGAGCTCGCCCTCCTCCGCGTCGCTAAGGTCACCGGCGGAGCGCCCAACAAGCTCTCCAAGATGTAACAATCAAAACCCAATTTTTTGTTTTCCTGATTTTTGTTCTGGAATCTCAGAAAACGAAGAGAAATTTGATTTTTTGTATTGAAATTTTGGTTTTCGCAGCAAGGTTGTGAGGCTGTCGATCGCCCAGGTGTTGACGGTGATGTCACAGAAGCAGAAGGCTGCTCTCAGAGAAGTGTACAGGAACAAGAAGCTCTTGCCTCTTGATCTCCGTCCCAAGAAGACCAGGGCCATCCGCCGGAGGCTCACCAAGCACCAGGTACTAACGTTTTTCGACTTCGTTTGCTTTTATTTATACTTGAACAGAAATTTAAATGATGAACTATCTTGTAATGGCATTTGATGCAACTGTTTGATATAGTTTATTTATAGTATATGAAACACTACACCGACGTCGATTGTGGACAAATTTTATTTTATATGTAGTTGATCTGCATTGGGTTTTTGTGATTGTTGAAAAGATAGATTGCCCAGTTTGTAGTTTTTTCATTTGGTGTGTATTGGGGTGTGATTTTGTTATGCTGTTGTATTGCACAGTCTTCTTTGAAGACCGAGAGGGAGAAGAAGAAGGAGATGTACTACCCTTTGAGGAAGTATGCCATTAAGGCTTAGAAGGTCCTATTGATTACGTTAGTTCGTCTTGTTACCTTGCTGTAATAGAATATTTTTGTTCACAAGTTTTGGCTTTGAATTTAATTTTGATGTTAGACCTGAAATTTTGGTGTTTAATTGTACTACTCTAGGTTTGGGGAGGTTCATGCCTTACCCAAATTGACTTAAAGTTTTCTTCGGGCAATGATAGTTAAGATTCTGTTGAGTTCTCTGCTTCTTGAATCCCTGAAGCATTTGATCATTTTTTTACTAGAACATTACTACATTTCATGCTTCGCACGGATCATGGTGAGTTTGTTGGATTTGTCATGTGCCCATTGATTGAAAGTTGTTTCTGTGCTACTTTAATACTGGGTTTGTTTTAGAGGTCTCTAACATGCTCCACTCTTTCTGGTGTGGAAATGATTACGATTGTTGCATATAGTTACGGTACACATTGCTTTCTAGCCCAAGCATGATTGTTAGTGATCGACACAGCGAGAAAAACTGATCAGATCCATTTGCTAGTCGGCTTTGAAGCTGAATGTTTGTTATCTGCTGTGTGTCAGTTGTTATTTCTGTTGCGGTCTTTTAAATACTTGCGATCTTTGTTTCGTTGGGATGATATATTTGGTCAATTTTCTATGGGGATGGGGATCTATGCTTCTGGGCTTTGGGTAGTTGGTACAGTCTTTTTTGGGTTGACACTGGTTCTTTTTTTGGAAGAATCTGTTTCAATGCGGAAATGTACCATAAAAACACGAATTGTTTTGTACGTGTGTCAAACTGTAATTGAGAAGAAATGAATGCCTAGTGCTATGAGAAGGATGTTTTAAAGGGGAATGATAAGCACATTATTTGTCTCCCGCCTAAAAGTAAAGAGTGACAATTAACTCCCCACTCTAAAATCTATTTGACAGAAATAATAATACAATATTGTAATTCTTGATTTATTTTATTTTGGAGGAAATTGTAGTAATGGTGTATCAAATTTAATTGAATTTGAGCAAGGGTCTTTTAATTAAAAATTTGTGATCATTGGTCACAAATGAGCAAAATTGTAGCAACGGTTTTTCAATTTTAACACGGAGAAATATTCCCTCAACTTTTACCCAATTGATATTAGAGAAATGTTCTCTCAACTTTAACTCAATCGTAGCATTTTGACGGATGTTTCGACGAAGTAGACGAAAACGATCATAGTTACACATTTTGATAAGTTAAGAGACGAATAGTCACGAATTTTTAGTTGAAAGACAAACAATTGCGTTAAAGTTGAGAAACTATTGTTACAAAGAGCCGTCGAAGAATTTGTTTATGATATTCCTAATGATATATGATCCGTGGAAATCTTTAAGGGAATGGATTCTCATTTTTTTTATTATAAAAATGGGGATTAGTTGTGGGGTCCACACTATATCGAACTTTAACGATCCAAATCATCTATTTTTCAAGTTGCAACTTATAAAAATGGGGAAATGTCATATGAACTTGTTCATATTTTTCAATTTGTCATATAAACTAAAATTTTAAGCAATTTATCATATTAACTTTACAAAATCTTTAATTTTTCATCCCATCCCAACTTCGTTAAGTTTTCTATCCAATATAAGTTATGTGCCTCGCACGTGACTTGTGTTGATGGTTTTTAGGTAATTTTAACATCTTTTCACAAGTTTTTTTACTTTTATATAGTACAAACCCTTAATATTTTTTTTACTTTTCTTTAGCACATATGCATCTACAACTTCATTTACGGCACAAAACGTCAATTTGTTTCTCATTTATAGAGCCTGTATGAAATTATTCTTTGACATGCTAAAATGCAAAAACTCCCACTTGTGTATCATTACATATTTGGAATAACTAGAAGAGAGTGCATTGCATGATCATTTAATTAATTGCTATCGTATAGAAAATATTGTTCCATTGCATGAGAAGCCCACCATTTTTTGTCGAATACAACTTAATAAAAGGGAAGTAAGGTATTAAAATGATCGAAATAACCCTAAACACTTCACATATGACTTATATTGGATGGAAAACTTAACGGAGTTAGGGAGAGATGACAAATTAATGATTTCAAAAGTTGCTATGACAAATTACTTAAAATTTTAGTTTATATGACAAACTGAAAAATACTAACCAGTTCATATGACATTTCAAAAAATTTCCCGAGATATAATATTAGACCATCTCCAACTCCTTTGGATAAACCTTAAAACTTTAAGTCAAAAAATTTTAAGCTATAACCCAAAAACTGCTTTTCTCCTCCAACTGGCTTAAAATTTTAGTCCGAGATTATTAAATAATCATTTTTGCCTAATTTTTTTTCTCAGTAACTTTTTTGAGAATAAAATTTATGTAGATTATCCTAATTCATTTTTATGAACATTTTAATCTAAAAATATTTAAATTCCAATAAGTAATTAAAAATCATACAAATACATAGGTATTTATAAAGATTTAAGTGAAATTTGATTTAAATAATTTTTCTTAAATTATTTTAGATGTTAGATTTAATTTTGGGCCATCAAATATTTTTTTTACCATTAGATTTGATCTCATTTGATCACAGCCATTAGATTATAAGTAAAAAACAAAAACAGGTTTGAAATATGATAGTTTGGTAGGTTCAGAATAATTTAAGCCGTTCTTAAATCCTGGAGAAAATCTAGCATAAATATATATTTTCTCCTCATGGCTTATTTTAGCCCAATGGTTGGAGTTGGTTTGGGGGGGGGGGGGTTTAAAAGTTTATATTTTAAGTTTTATTCCATGGGTTGAAGATGGTCTTAGGGAGACCAAAAATTTAAATCATGAATGAGACATGATACATTTCACAGTAACAATTCAACCATCAAGAACCACATCATTTGATTTGCAAATGTAGTTTAAAATTTTGATCTCTCTAGGATTATCAATAAGTGAGACATTATACATCTAACAGTTATTACTTTGGGCAAAGTAAAGGGACATGCAAATTGGACGTAACATAATAATAATATTGAGTCATTGACATTCAATGAAAGAAAATGCTAGCTAGTGTGTTTTCAAGACTCTCATTTTTGTTGTAAATAATGGGTATGTTTGCCCACATGTGTATAGTTAAGTACCACATGTGTATAATAATGTGTATAGTAAAGTATCACATGTGAATAGTAAGGTTTGTAAGTTTCCATTGAAGTGGCTCTATAAATAGAGCACTTAGATTGTTCAAATGAAGAGAACATCAAGAAGAGAAAAGGAAGAGAAAACCATCTAATAGCAATAATATACATTACTTCCTATGCAACTGCTTGTGTTCGTATAATACTCTATAACTGCTTCGTTCCTGTCCCGAGTAAATGTTATCTCTCTAAATTTTGCCTATTTATAACACGTTATCAACACAACTCTCTAATAATTTCTCATTTCCCTTCACCGAAAGAAAAAAAAAAATGTTTCCTCCAAGGTTTTTACTGTTCTTCTTCTTCCTCTGCCTCAATTGTTGGGTATACCATCGCGAAGAACTGTTTGCACCATGTTTACTTCTAGTTCTCCAACTAACACTCACTTATATCTTTGATTTCTTGTTTGGTGTAGATATTGACTACTAACCCACTGATTATTTATGCAATCCAAGATTGTGCGGTTCTATCGCCTATCTTGGACTACAGATCTAATTTTACTGCAAATTTTAAGTGGAGCGGTATAATTGCCCGCCCTATCCTGCATATTTAAATTTGCATGTTATTTAATTTTATCGCAATTTTAGGTGGTGTGAAATAATCACCCACCCTGCTTTACATATTTAATCGCAATTTTAGGTGGTGTGAAATAATCACCACCCTGTTTTACAAATTTAAATTTTATCGCAATTTTAGGTGGTGTGAAATAATCATCCACCCTGCTTTAGGTGGTGTGAAATAATCACCCACCCTGCTTTACATATTTAAATTTTATTGCAATTTTAGGTGGTGCGGTATAATCGTCCACCTTACTCTACATATTTAAATTTTCCTGCTGTTTAAAGTAGTGCGAAATAATCGCCCATCCTGTACTTGTTTCGATGAGAATGGTGCGGTACAATTGCCCTTCTCATTAATTATGTAAATCTCGAGCCTGAAGTTTCGAGTACTTTCGAGTACTTATCATTTTGGCTTGAAGATCCAAAATTTGTAAGAATCAGAAGTTCTAACAATATATTCCTCCAGAATACATATTATTGCAAGTTCTTACACACCTCATTATTCTTTCAGAAAAGAAAATGACAAACTTGACAAAGCTTAATTTCGCTGTCCTGGATATTACTGGAAAGAATTACCTTACCTGGGTACTGGATACCAAGATCCATTTGGAAGCAGTGAATCTTGGAGATACCATTAAGGAAGAGACCAGCTCATCCTTTCAAGATCGGGCAAAGGCCATGATTTTTATTTGTTGCCATCTTGATGAGGCACTAAAGAGCGAGTACTTAACGGTTGAAGATCCGTTAGCCATTTGGAATGCCTTGAGAAACAGATACAATCACCAGACAACGGTGATTCTTCCAAGAGCTCGCTATGACTGGACTCACCTAAGGATCCAGGATTTCAAGCCAGTAGATGAGTACAATTCGACGTTATTTAGAATTACCTCTCAGATGAAGCTCTGTGGGGATACTATTACTGAGGAGATGTTATTGGAAAAGACTTTCAGCACATTTCACGCCTCTAACATGGTACTGTAGCAGCAGTATAGAGCGCGAGGCTTCACTGAATACAACCAGCTGATATCTGTGTTCCTGGTAGCTGAACAGAACAATGAGCTCCTGATGAAAAACCATAATTCCTGACCTACTGGATTAACACCGTTCCCAGAAGTGAATGCTGCTTCCCTTAAAAGAAATACCATATCCTCCCGTGACAATAATTACAAATGAGGACGTGGCCAGGATTTCAAGCCAGTAGATGAGTACAATTTGACGTTGTTTAGAATTACCTCTCAGATGAAGCTCTGTGGGGATACTATTACTGAGGAGATGTTATTGGAAAAGACTTTCAGCACATTTCACGCCTCTAACATGGTACTGTAGCAGCAGTATAGAGCGCGAGGCTTCACTGAATACAACCAGCTGATATCTGTGTTCCTGGTAGTTGAACAGAACAATGAGCTCCTGATGAAAAACCATAATTCCCGACCTACTGGATCAACACCGTTCCCAGAAGTGAATGCTGCTTCCCTTAAAAGAAATACCATATTCTTCCG